TAATGGTAAGTTAGGTCAGAGGGGTCAGCTCAGAGAGGTTCGTTATATTAGAGGGGTCAGCTCAGAGAAGTAACCAAGGTCAGGGGCTCAGAACAGGGATAAGGTAGGTGGTCATTACAGAGGCTTAAGTGGGTTGTGACATTTCCAGGAACCTGGTCTACCAACATTTGTTAGTTTAGATCAGTTACGTACAGCAGATGATGGACTTACATTTGATTACTTTAATACTTACGGCAGATGATGTACTTACATTTGATTACTTTAATACTTACGGCAGATGATGTACTTACATTTGATTACTTTAATACTTACGGCAGATGATGTACTTACATTTGATTACTTTAATATTTACGGCAGGTGATGTACTTACATTTAATTACTTTAATACTTACGGCAGGTAATGTACTTACCTTTGATTACTTCAATACTTACGGCAGATGATGTACTTACCTTTGATTACTTAAATACTTTCTCAGGACCAGAGGATTGTTGTGGAATCAAGTCAATGAAATTGTTCAGCATTGGATAACCCAGCTCAAGAAGCAGTCATCCGTCATCACCATCATATCTTCTGTACTCCCATCATATCATCCATACTCAATCATATCATCTGTACCCTCATTAAATCATCTATACCCCATCATATCATCTTTACCCCATCATATCATCCACTCAATCATATCATCTGTACCCTCATCAAATCATCCATATCCCATCATATCATTCATATTTCATCTTTACCCCATCATATTTTCAATACCTCATCATACCATCATATCATCCATACATTTGGCCTTGTACACAGCTGCATGATACCATGGCAACAGGCACATTTTCACCTCGCTCATCCACAATCTTTATAATTACCATTGAATCCTAAAACTGTGTCCATTGAATCATTTCTTCATTGGTCCTGAACAGTTCATGAACAGGATGATCATTTTGTCACTTTAATTTATTGTTCAAAGTTGACCACACCAAATTATAACATGAAATATTTCTGGCCGACTGGCATTATGCCAATCCAAAGTTTCAACACTAGCATTTGTAAGGATTTGATAGTAGAAATAAGTCAGGTAAGACAGTAGTGGATTAATTTCAACATTGTTAGAAAGTGTCCGTTGTGCTGGGTGATGCCATAGCTGTAGATGTCATTTAGATTTCAGGCATTTCTTCTTATTGGGCATTTTTCTCTCACTCTCTTAATTGTGGCTTTTTAAAATTTCCTCTGAGATTATTGCTCAGCATTAAATTGCTTTTGTATAACCAGCTTAGAGGCAGAGAAAGTCGTGTATCAAAAGCTAGTTCTGGATTCAGTTTTTACTAAGTAACAAATAGTTAATGGCTTGTGTAACAGGCTAAGAAACGGGAAGTCATATTTTAGATGCTCTGGCTTCATATAACTGTAAGAGGTTTTGACTATTTGGTCTTCCGGATCCATCAATGTGTCATAGGTTTGTCTACTGACCAGTCCATTGTCAAGGTTTGTCTACTAACCTCTCTAATTCCATGGTCATAGGTTTTTCTACTGACCACCAGCCACAGTTTCTGGTCATAGGTTGATGCTGCCAAGAACCAAAAACAAGGGAGACGAGCACTGACGTTCTTCCTTATTTATGGACTACTATTTTTGTAATTGTAACTCATGAGGTCAAACTTTGGGGAAAAAACTGGATTTTTATAATATTCCTCTCTCTAACAACCAATGGCCTTTGACCAAAAGATTGGCAATCTTTAAAAATTATTTCATAAAAATTTAAATTTTAAAAATTACTGTGAATCAACATTTTTTCAAACTATTTTTTTAAATAGTATTATTGTCTGGAAATATGAGATGTGTAATATTGTGTATGTAGATGTGTAATATTGTGTATGTTGTCAGTATGAGATCAACTGTCATCACATTCAGATTAGTTTTAGTAAAACTGGGATCACATAGTCACGCATGACATTAAATATTCTGAAGTAGCAGACGTTTGTTCTTTTCTCAACATTTGTTTTGTTTCTGATTGTTGATGTAATGTTTGCTAGGGTGAGTTTTTGGGTGAACTTTTCTGTCCATGAATGAGAACGTAAACTAATGACAGCTGATGTTCAAGGAACATGTTGGCTCCTATCCTAGTCATCTCATGTTTTCCCAACATGTTTGATATTCGATTTATTAGTTGCAGTGGTACCCAACTTTTTTGTTCTGCCTGCATTCCACTACAGGTGCTTGAGTGCAGAAGTATTGATTTTAAAATGGGTAACCTCACACTTGCATAATCTCTCTCTAAAGAGAAAAGACCTACCACCCCCTAAGTTGAGAACCACAGAGTGGATTAGACTTCTCTGCTAGAAAATTTAACTGTTCTCAAAAGACTCCAGTCTATTGGAGGTCATTGTCTTGTCCATGGGACGGCTTTGTCCTTGATTGGAGGGCCTCTTCCAATCTATTGAAGGGCCTCATCCTGTTTAAGCGAAGGGTCTATTCATGACAGGCTAAAGTAGTTGCTGATCCCGCATGTTTTAAAAAATAGAATTTAATTTTTGCTGTAGACATCAAATTATGGGAATCTGGACTAAACTTTTGACTACAATAATTGATATCTGTGTAGATTTTGTTCTGTCTTACAACTTCAAAAATTATCATATTATTTTCTAAATTTAAAAAAAATTGTTTACTAAATAAGACAAATTGTAAGATATTTGAAAATTTTTGAAGTCAAAATAAGCTTTAGTCTCCTAAAATGGGGCAATTTTTTTTCTGACATATTTGTTGTGTTTGGGAGTGTGCGTTGTTTTAAACAGAACCACAGGATTCTATCATTGTGTGCTTTGTTGTTGTTTTTGGACAGGAGGAGTGCAAATTATTTTTGGACTTTTTCCTCAGATCAGTTTTGTCTGATCCACTTTTTTTAAATTGCTTTAAATCCAAATATATATTGCTATTCATTTGATAAAATACAAGATAAATGTCACAAACATGATAACTACTGATGCCTGATTTTGACATTTTGTTTAGTATTTGATCTTTTGTTTAAAATACTTTTTTTTTTGTTGATGTGTGAAATTTCAATATATTTCTTTTATTTTTTGAAATTGGAAAAATAGAAAAAGTTTTAATCTAAAACTCTTAATTGCAAATGTAAATTACTGCAAGAATAAGCTAAAGGGTTTCTACTTATTTGTATAGGATACCATCCTTTAATGAATGTATAGTACAGATGGTACCACCCACTAATGAATATATGGTACAGATGGTAACATCTTCTTTATTAATGTACTGTACAGATGTTACTGGTACCATCCCCTGAGTGTACTTTAAGATCAAATCCATGTACACATGTATAAAAATCATCACCACCCTCATCACCGCATGGCCATCTGTATAACTTCCCTTTGATTTCAGCATGCCACTAAGACCATGATAAGTTCATAGGTCAACTCTTATATAATGTTGTTATTACTACTACTAATAAACTGGCCAATAATTCAGTTGCTATACTCAAAATCAAATTTCTTAACAAAAAAGTGCCTATTAGATCTGATTTTTGGAGGGTCCCAACATTTAATTTAGTTTTTTCTAGGTGACGCTTAAAACATGCATTTAGTTTGTACAATACAATCCTCACTATTTTTTTTAAGCAACATATTAACATCAGCATATATTCTGTTGTAACCCAAAATATTCACTTTTTCTACACATTTCAGTTTAAGATCAAAATGACCAATTCACCAACCGTATGTGTTCAACTCCATTTCTTTTTTGTGGCCACTAATGGTTTCAGATATTCACTATCTGGTCCCTACACCATTCAGTCATGAAGGCAGATTACAGTGTGAACTATACCATACACCATTTATACACATAACAATGGGCCCTTTATCTCCTAGTTTCAACCAGAGAAATTCTTAAATATTTTTAATTACTTTATTATCTACTTATGGTAAATAATTAAATGACAACTGCTTGACTTGCTTATCTCCCTGTTTAATTTTATCATTTTGTAAATGTGTCTTTTTATGAAGATTAAAAATAACTGCTAACTTTTGGCTTGCCTCTATTTTATTCATTGTCTTGTGGGGGTCAGGAGATGAGGGTTTTTTTCAATAGTAATTTTACATTTTAGTATGTTATTTAGATGAAAAATACTTCATAATGTTATCTTTGAAATAATCTATAAATGATTCAATACTATGACATCATCAAAATGTACAAGTTGGCTGGAGCATAATTTATTCTACCATTCTCCTTTACTTAAACAAATATAGAAATAAACTGTCACCCTCCAGACTCTGTGCTAAAAACATTAAGTTGATCAAAATATCACACATCAATATACACCATCTATTTAGTCAGTGGCGTAGCTAGAGTGTTTGGCGCTGGTGACACAATTCCATTTTCACGCCTCGCTTCTACCCTGAAACCTATTATTTTAATAAATAAAATACCATCGAAACCCATTTTGAGGCCCCTAACTAGTCGGGGGGGGGGGGGACATATCTGCTGTTCCCCCTCCCTCCCCAACTTATTTGGTGTCTTGACCAGTTGATACCTTTATGGGGATACATTTTGTCAGGCTTTTTTATATCCATTAAAATAAAGGATAATGAAAAATGATGATTAATTTTGACATTTTTAATCCTCAGGATGTGTAGATTAAAAACTGACATCCCATAATTCAATTGTTTTATCTATACTGAATATTTTAATGGCTGACTGTACAGAAAGATGCTACTTAGTGACTCTATACTGCTCAACAATGTATGCTTAAAATAACAATGCTAAGCTCAAGCATTTTTTAGACAGCATATAAGAATTTTTTAAAATCCTTTATAACTTCGCTTATTTATGTTCGTTTGTTTCTGGCTGGGTGGCAAAATCTTCGGTCAGCTATTTGACCCACTTCCTGTCAGCCTATCAAGCTGAAACTTGGTATATAGACTCATTTCCGATGACAACACATTCTATATATTTAAATTTTCAGCCCCCCCTCCCCCCCCCCCCCCCCCCCCACAAAGCCCCAAATATCTGTTTTTCCAGGGGAAGATGAAGAAAATATGATGCCACTGATTTCACTAAATTAAATTTCTAATAACTGCGCTAGATGAGATTTTTTTTTAAATATTGCAAGTGCGTTTTGTCCATGATATTTTCTTGTGGGAAATTAGAATAAAAGAAAATTATAAGTGCATATAAATATTTATACGAAAAACTTTTGTTTTTAGGGGTTGTTAAATTAAGTCTACATTTCTTTATAAAGATATTTTGTACCCACAATTGTTGTGACAGAGTGAAGCTAAAAAACATTTGATAGTGATGAGAAGGTTTTCATACTGACACCCAGCGTTGTCTTTACTGCATCCTTGGTTGGTGTCCATCGTAGCGTATGGGTGGGAAATGGTTGAGCCTGGTTGGTTCCTGATAGTGTGGGGGGTTGTACAGACCCCATTTTGGGGTTGGTATTTCCTGTGGGAAAGGTACTGGGTAACTCCAATTACCCCGATAGCCTTTGTTATGTGGCATGGCTTTCTGGACATCTTTCATTATGATTTCATTGTTGTATGGAACAAAGTCATCATGCTTTCTAGATGTTGGTTTTGATGGTTGCTCCCAGTGCCAATTAATGTTCTTGTAGTCCGCTAGAGTAGAAAAAAGTCAACTGCGGTTAAAAGGTGCATTTTATAAATATTTTCAGCTTTTCAAGAAACGTTGACTATAAACATAAGGGATATTTAATACAAGAACTTATCTTCATTTTCTTATTATTTTTATTTATATAGACAAATGCTTTTTTTCCAAATGCAGTATTTTATAACTCTTTTTAGAGTTAAGTAAAGCAACATTTTAAAAGTCCTTTTATCCTGAAATTAACTTAAAATGGATTTACCGCTATGAAAATATTTAAAACTTATTATTTAGTTAAACAAATTACACAGTAAGATTCCTTCCAAAGTCAAACTTTCAGATGGTTTGGCCCCAACCTCAATTAATTGCTGTTGATTAAACTTTCAAAAAATAGGAAAACCCAAACATTCTCATTTTGAAGTAAAATTTCAAATTTCCGTTCAATATTGCTAAGTATTCTACAACTCCTAATCTTCTTGGTTTGCTTTTTTAATCAATGCATTCCATTTCTGCAGAATTTTGATGACCATAATAATCTTTTAAAAAAATTTTTAAAGAGAATTTAAAAATTGGACATTAAAAAGCTCAAAGCTGTGTTGGAACTACATCTGACTTGATGATCTAACATGTTCATATTGCAATTTGATTTCGCATATGGATATTTTCTCAAAGAAAAATTGGGCTTTGTTCCAATTTCTATTGATGCGAATAGATTATAAGCTATAGTAATACATCTATCAACTATCATGTTAACAGTATTTATTATTCAATCTTGACGTTGTCAATTAACAAATTATCACTTCTTGAAATTCTAAGTATTATTTTTTTTAAATCTAGTTCTGCAAGCATTTTTCTCATACAATGTCAGTTTCAAAATTTACCTCGTCTAATCTGGTTAGTTTCTCGATTAAACCAGTCTGGATGGCGTGAGGTTGACCTCCAAGCATACCAATCTGGGTGTTCACCACTCCATTTCCTCCAGCCGGCCTAAAATAAGAAGAATTTATAAATAAGTTTGATTAGTTTTCAATGAGAATGATGATGTGCCACCCAATTTGGTCAAGCAATCACTATCTGTTACATTAATAAATGAATTACTCTGTCAAATTTTGTGGAAAACAACATAAATAACTTGTAGTTAAGTAAGATTGGTCAGTAAGAAAATATGTCTTAAGAGGGTGGGAGGGGGGGTATAAAACATTAGTAGGTAGGTCCCTATATATGGGGTAAAAAATAAATTTTCATACCCCAAAAAATACATATCTACCAATTAGCATTCAACTGAATAGTTTGCAAAAGTTAAATGTTTTAAAAGTGTCATAGCAAAGTGTACTGACCCTTGCAACATCTGGATGACTACAGTGGTAAGTCTTCCATTCATGGAGTTTAGGCTGCCTGTGGATGACGAATTAAGCTTTAACTTCAATTGTTTTGTGATTCCAATGAAAACTAAAATATGTCATATGTGTTTCTTTTTAAAATTAATAGTTGCTAGTGATATTTAAAATAATTAGATTCAACTTAAAAAGAGGACAAGACTGTGGCTCTAAGGACAACATTCAGATAGACAGCCCTGGGAACAAGAAACCATGGAAAACATATAGAGTTCTTGTGCTAAACAACAGAGGACCTGTGGAGTAGAAACCTTATGCCTTACACTGCAGACAGCTCTAAAAGAAGCAGGCGATAAGCAGAAAGCTCCATTTGGCACATGAGGGATTAAAAGAATAAATGTAAAATATTTACATCTGATTTTTAAAAAATCAATATTGATTACGTTTACTTTGCAAAATAATGCTCTGCTTGTGCCAATTTTTTAAATTTTATTGATTTTTCTGATTTACTAATAATGACTGTGCCATGTGATTTGCCTTAAGAATCATATCATTAGAAAATATAAGAAGTGTTCTTTTGAATTGTAACACCTTCACAATATTCACATATTTGAATTAAATGTAAAGCAGTACATATGAAAAAACAGTTTAAATTTAAAGAGCTAATTCTCATATTTCAAAATGATCATGCTTTCAATCTGATAATATAAATATGCTAATAAAATAATAAAATAGTTTGAAATGGAAAATAAAATAAAACATATATTGCTTAACTTAACAAAATTTTCGGATATCGCTAAAAATTATTGCTATATTATATAATATAATTATTCTCACCATTCCTTTGGTAGCTTTGCTGGTGTTGATAAAAATCCTATTGCCGCAGTATTCGTAGAACTCATGCCGATTTACTAAATGGCTTGCCTTTACTTTTAGTGTCTTTATTTAACTTAAAGACTTAAAGTTTAAGGTCTCGTCAAGACTCAAGTCAAGTTGACACACTCGTAGGCGTAGGCTACTCGGTGTATTGAATAATATTAATAATAATAATGTCAGTTGCTACATGAACTACATATTAAGTAAAATGATTTTTGTTTAAATTTATGTTTAAATTCACTCTTTCTTCTCAGGATTTGATATGTTTCAAACACTAGCCTTAGCCTTAGACTTTTAGTCGAATCCACCAAAATAGTAGAGTAGTCCGAATGGTAGCTGTCACTGTTTAAACAATAAAAAAATGGCTAGGCCTATTACTGTTAAATAGTCTATTTCTTAATCTGTCTGATTTAACCTAACTCCAAAGTCCATATTCACCATCATTTTTTATTTGTTTATGTTTCAAAAAAATGTATAAACTATGGGTGCAATATACGTTTATATTTATAGTTATGTTGTTATTTTTCAAGCTTTAAGCGAAATTACTTTGTTACCATAGTAGCGCGTCAATGGTTACGGCGCCTAGCAGTTTAAAAAGAAATATTGTAAGAAGTGTTTTTTATTTGATAAAATGTTACATTCTAATGCTAAATTTTTATATAAATGACATGAAAATTTAAATTTACTTTATTAATCAATAAAATCGTTGTATATATAGGGCTTTGATCTATAGTCGATAACTATATGCTTACTTATGGCTGGGGGCCGTATGCATGGCATATGTAATATGTAAGTTGTCATGTAAATTAAATTGTAATTGGTGTCTAGTGTACTGTACTGCATCCTTAAGTGACTTTAATACTGTTAGCCTAACAAAACAATGAACTATTTAATGATGATGGTAAAAGAGTCATCAGCAAATATATTTTTAATGCAATAAATTTCAATGAATGCTTTTGAAAAATAATATTGTTAAAAATGTAGAATTCTCGCTAACACTAACACTACTCTCTAGTTACCCCAACAAAAATAACAATGGCGGACACGCTGTTTTTCAAGAGGTCCCAGACCATGTATCCTTATTGGGTAAATATGCCCCCAACTGTTCCGAGATATCCAGCATCACAAGATATGTTCAGGTAATTAACTATCAGCCTATTCATATTTCTTTAACTTTAATCAGATACTCTAACTCTAATACTAATACTAAGCTTAATGATGGCTGATTTACGCTAGAGAACTTCTGTTAAGGACTTACGACTTAAGAAGACTATACCACTATACTATAGATGTTAACTTATTAAGATGTCGTGGTTTCAATTTTTATTGCTTTAAAGCAGGCCTGCAGGGGGCCGTGTGCCAGCACCCAATTTGCTGCCTGCAGAGCCGTTCTTAGGAGTTTGGGGGCCCTAAGCATGGAGCATAGGTTGGGGGCCCCGGAAGGGGGGGGACCAGGGGTGGAGCTCCCTCGAGCTGAGGAGAAACACCACCCACCACTGCCGATTTCCTGTCTGCCACCCCCAAAGCTCCCCCCTGCTGCTTCCCTTTCCCTGCCTCCGAATTCAACTCAGAATGATCAATTTCAGGATGAGGAAGGTAACGTGAGAGACACAGATGGCTGCAGTGCCAGTTTTAAAAAAAAAAATGGGGAATCGAGGGCGCCTCATGTGGATGCGTAGTCAGCGTATGCCTAAGAACGGGCCTGCTGCCTGTGAAGTAATGAAATATTCTTTACTATTTCTATTATTATTTTCTAATAGCTTTCCCCACTGCCCTATAATTTTCTTTCANGGCCCACCTTACATTTTGAGTTGTGCAGGCCTTTTTTAAAGTTGTGGTGTCGTAGGTCTAAGGGCCTTCCATAAAGTACGTCACACTATTTTTGACCATTTTAAACCCCCCCCCCCCCCCCCGTCACAAACTGTCACGAATCTCGAACAAATTTTTTTAAAAATTAACACCTATTTAAAATTTAATCTAAAACACACTTCACTATTAAACTGTATTAAAATATTAAATTTCCACTTAAAAGAACTATCACATTATTAAAATGACTTTAATAGTAGAATAGTTAATTGTCAACAGTTGCCACAGTTATTCATTGAACCAGTAACTCAATCTAGATTGAATTTGAAAACAAAAATTGCAAAAATTAGACTAGACAATTATATAAAACACATCATTTATCTGCTGCTTTTTCATTTACATAAGGTGAGGTCAAGTTTTAGATAATTTCCGATTATGCAATCCTTTTACTCAGGATAAGAAGTTTATTAGCGAAACTAGACCTCATCCAGTGATTAAATAATAAAAAGGAAACAAAAAAATTTGACTAAAAAAAGACCAGATTGACAAATTATGTGACAAACTCTTATGCTAAATTGAATCTGTTTATTATAGGCCTGTGAATTATGTTTAATTCAAAAATATTCACTGGACATCATCACCATCATCGTTTCCTGGAAGCATAATTGCAGACAGATCAACTTCATCCTCATGTAGCCACTCAACATCGTCTGAATGTGCATTTTCTCTTCTGGCAATAACTGCCATGAGTTCTCTTTGCCCTCTAGCAGCGATTCTTAAAGGACTGATGCGTTTTATCTGAGTTGATTCTGGAACAGTTTGGGTTGTCACATTCTCCCGAGCCCGAGCTCTGTGATGTCCTGCATGTTTCTTCAACACTGTTTGTAAGTGCAAATTCGATCAAGTAAGCTGGTCTGCAAAGATGGACAATAAAGATCATATTGAGAGGAATCGTGAACAATACATTCAGGAGATACATAGGCCTATTTCATGCTATTTTGACATAAAAAAATTTTAAAAGTTTCACAAAATTTTTTAAAATTATTTTTAAAGCGATCAAATTCTACTAAAAAATAAAAAAAATAAAAATAGAAATTAAATTTTAAAAAATAAATGTGTGACGTCATGCATGGCATGACCCCCCTCCCCCTGTCACAAACTGTCACACTTTCTTACACCCCTCCCCCCCCCCCTCTGGAGCATGATGTACTTTATGGACAGTCACAAACTGTCCCACTTTCTTACCCCCCCCCCCCCCCCCCCTCTGGAGCATGATGTACTTTATGGACAGCCCCCTAGTTGTGAAATGTTGTGATGAATATATATTTTTTTATGTGCAGAAATTTAATATGTAAAATGTAATAAAAAAAAACATTTCCATTTATTAGGATCAGCGAAATAATCTGATCTTTAAAAATATAATTTGATTTACAAAAAAATACTGGAAAAAAAAACGTACAATCATAAAAAAAAGTAGCTCAAGCATATAAATCTAATCTAATAAATAAATTTGGCTCATTCCTTTTAAAACATTAATGTTACTCTTTTAGACGTGAGGAACCAGATAAATACACTATAAGAAAAGGAAGAGATGGACACCAGGTAATTTTTTTATTTTATTTTAATTATTTAAAGGAGAAAAACTTTTAGGCCGAGTCAAGTTCAGTTATTTCAACATCAACAATGTCAAAGCTATGGGTTTTTTTTTTTTAATGGAAGATACCATGTTTTTTTCTCAAATGATTACTAACGATAATAATAACAATTCAATACACATTTGGATGCTTCAAATGTAATGTAATTTCATAAACATCTGCAAAAAGATGCAGAACCAACTAAATTTGAATACAGGAACTTCGGTGTAAACAAGCAAGTCGTCAACTTATTCTACAGTGCAACTATTGGAAGCCTGCTTAATTTCAGTATTACTTGCTGGTATGGGAATTCAAAGTCTGATATTAAACACTGCATAAACCAACTAATCAAGAAAGCTAGGAATATAACACAAACTAAACATCCTTCACTTGAAGAACTATTTGAAGATATTTAGGATCGGGCCGTTCGGGACTAATTCTTTCCATCAGGGCGAGGAGGACTGACAGATATAAAAATTGTTTTGTTCCCTAATCTGTATGAATCTACTGGTGTGCTTACTCTGAAGTCACACATCTGAATGAGAACTAATAAGTCCTCAATTTTTGCTTAGAGAACTCACTGAATGGCTGTTTGAAATAATTTATTATAAATGTCTTGTGTTCCAATTGTTTTATTTTTGTGCTGAAAATGTATAAAGCAATCAAAAAACATTTCCATTTATTTGGATCAATAAAAGAATCTTATCTTATCTTATCTTATTTCATAATGGAATGAATGATAGCTGTCCATTTAAAGCTTTATTTATTTATTTAAACTATTCTCTCTTGAGTAATAAAATACATCCAAGATTCTGAATATTTAAATTTAAATGTTTATTTTTTTAATCAAAGAATTGGACAGATAAATGGTATGACTGGGAGCATCCAGTCAGGAGACAAGAAGAACTTCCACTGGTTGTTGACCGTCAGGAACCATTGTCCAGGCCTTGGCAGTATGGTGTCCACATGGGAATAACAGGACAGCCGAAATGGTCGAAGGAGGGCAAAGACTGGCCAGTGAATAACAAGAAGTATCTGAAGTAAATCAAACTTTCAATTACGTTTTCCAAACAATTTTCCATTACAAAAAAAAAGAAACTAAATGACCCTTTTTTTTTGTTTAAATCTTTTATTTTAGTGTATTAATGATAGAAAAATTATGAATATACTTTTTAAAATTTAATGTATTACAATTTATCATAAAATTAAACCTTCAATCTAAATTTAAATAAAATAGCATTTTTGCTCATTATTACATAGATTGCTGTTATCTATTTAAATTTTAAATAGATTTTGTAAAATACTAAGCTTGTACAATATAAGTTTAAAATTTTAACAGAAATGGTGTGCCAAACACAGAGAACCATCGAGCAAGAGCAGTCAGGGAGCTAAGCTTCAGAGATGAAAAATTGTATCCATTTTCTAATTTCATGACATCAACTTACCGCCGCCCAGTTTACTCTGTAAATGGTCCTCTCCAAAAAGATCCAGTATTTGGCTTGACCAGGCAAAGGAACAGACATGGACATATGCCATTTGAAGATTATTATTAATTATCAGTATTTAAGAATGTTAAAGATATTTGAGAAAATTTCTAATGCCAGCTTTATTTTCTAGGAAGTCTGAGAATTTATTCAAATTCTAGGAAGTCTGAGAATTTAATCAATTTTAAAATAGAATTATTTTATTGGTTGATAAAATTTTAATCATTATAGACCATTTTAACCATTTCAATCCAAAATTAACTAAACATCAATTATTATTGTGATTATTATTCAGAATAAGTTTAATATTGAGAGGTGCCATTTGAGCCACATATTATCCTAAATCTTTAAGTTTTAAGGCAAATTTAGAATATGACTTTAATTTATCGAAATGATGTTGACCAAATAAAAATAATTACATTCCACATTGCTAGCTTAATATATTATGAATTTTCATACTTGTTTTAACAATATTTTGGCATTGGTGCTCCATTAATATTGTTTTGTGTGAATAAGAGTGCAATTGAATTCCCTTGACATGTTCAACTATATTTTTGTGGGTAAAAATTCAATTGATTTTCATCGGACCTGGAATGAACTGGTGAACTATTTAATGCATATTAGTATTATTTAAACTAAGAGAGTCATTTATCTTCCTAAAGTTTAATGAAGGAACTTTTTTGTAATGGTTACACTTACACTTTTAGTGCAAAGAAGTCAGATTAAATTTCTGCTTTCACTTGGTTGATAAATCAAATGACCAGTTTCATAAATAGTTTCTTTTAATTAAATCCTGTACATTTTCTCTCTCCGCTCAGACTGTTTCATCTGATGCTCTGGATATCAAATTTAGTTACAAGATGGTAAGACCATTCCTTAAGTTCCTTGAATCACATTGTAAAACTTTTTATATTTCTTAAGCTCACTTTGATTGCCTGATTGCACAAACTGTACCAGTGTAACAAAAACATTCAAGAATACACAACAAAAATTATGAAATTATTCAGCAGAATTTTTCTTAATTTATTGAGACTAGACATTTCTTTTTTGTAACGTTTTTTTGTGTGTTTTTCAAAGAACATGATTAATTAGGTCACATGCAAATTTTGATAAAGAGGGAAAATAAAAAGACAAAATGAGCAGCAACAACCATGCAAGACAAACATGCCAGTACAAAACAGTATTAAAATGCATGCACACACAAGGGAAGGTTCTCAAAGACATATATATATATATATATAATTTAATATGAGAAAACTGCTTTTATATGTATTTTTCACCAGTTTCAACATAATGTTTTCCTAACGCTGTAATAGACTTAAAAATCTAATATCTTTGAGTTAAAATAATGGTAAAAAATGCAAATCTTCTCAAGTTAAATCTAAGCTAATATAAAAGCTGCCCAAGACATCCTCAGCAACAAGCTTCAATAAAACTTATTTCTGCCCACTTACCAGTATGACATACAACAGAAATTTTTTTTTTTCAAGTGTACAAAAGCAAGTGAGGCTTTAAGCACAGAGACCAGGAGACACAACATAACTTTTTCTTCATTATAATTAAAACCCAGAAGATTTTAATTTTACATTTCTACTTTCTTTATGATACTGATTCACTCTATAATAATTTCTTTACTGAGCAACACTTTTCAGTTATGGGGCATTGAGGCTGTCGGTGATATTTTTAAAGTTATTATAAAAATCAATTTGATATTTAAGAGACACTACCCAGTTCCAGATTCCACTGCAACCCATTGTTTACATTCTGTGTTGCCTAGGTATCCAGAGCTTTCCAGAATAAAAGAGAGGAACTTTTCAGACCAAAAAAAATATAAAAAATCTGGAGAGTATTCAGGAACACTTACAAAGAGATAGTGACAAAAGATGGCACACTTGTTGTGACATAGATGGTGCTAGTGTTTAGTCCCTGTATGCTTTTATTTCTCGCCCAAAGCAAGGTCCACAATTGTTTATGTTTTCTATTCTGCTGTAAACTCGCACTAACACCAGAATTTGATTTGTTTCATATGAAATATGCAAATATTTTTGTACATTACTGTGTGGGTCCCAAACATTTTCGAATTGTGATGGCTGTATTAACAACATGACATGAAAAGCCATTCAAAATAAATCATGTACAAAAACCAACAGTGTTACATTGGGTAAGACACAGGAGATATTATTCAATCAGATATGATAGTTTATAATGAGATATGGGTGTAACAGCAAGTGATAAGGCATGCGAACATAGATCCCACACTACTCACAATGACAACGACTTATGACAGTTCTACACATTCAGTATCATTGACTTGATCATAGATATTTGTCAAATGTATGCATTCAGACGGCATTACTAGTCATTAAATAACATGCTACACATAGAGAGACCAATTTAACTCTCCTGTAGTCATTGTCACAAAAGTTCACTCAACACATTCTTGAAACAAGTTTCACTCACAAAAGTGGGCGGTGGCGGCGGGGAGTGTCATTACCAGCCATTTTGTTCCTGAATGCTAACATAAATCAATATCATCAATTATTTTGGAAATTTGGAGGTACTTTCTGTTAACTTTAATTTCTTTTTCAAATTTGGATTCTTCTTAGCCTGATTCAAGGGTAAGTTATGGAGGTCATTTTGTTGCCAAATAATGTTGACATAAGATTTTTTGAAAAAAAAAAGAAGATATACAGCACTATTAAAATAATTATCTTTAAACGTACATTCACTCTTATAATGTAATATATATTTGCATACTTAAAATTGAATGTTACTCTAATACTTGGATACCTTGATATAAATAAGTCTTTGAACAAGGCCAGTATACTGTAAATATACAGCTAAAAACATATCGAGGGACAGCTACAAACCTTTTGAAATACAGCTAAAAAAAAATAAACATACAGTTATGTTTCAGCTATATTTGTCTAAATACCTTTTTGACATGTCTTTCAAACTTTAAACAAAGATTTAGTTGAGATAGACATTAGTCAACCATGACAAGGTTCACATACACACCAAAAAATGAGATTTATATGAGAGTTGTACAGCAGAACATGCATGATATTTTGGTCATATGTATTGATATAATTTTCATACATACTTGAGAACATTTATCATTAACCTTAGTCATATGTATACATCAAGAAGTAATAGAGTCATAATTTTCAACGCCAACACATTCACATCCAAATAAATATTGCAACAACAAAGAAAAGAAGGTAACATTATGTGTATGATTATTGCAGTAGTTGAGATTGCTACTTCACTGTTACAAATGATAAAAGACAATTCCATGAATTGCTCCAATACAACCGGCTGCGTGTGGACTGGCAACCAAATGGATCTGTGGCTAAAATTAAACCTTGGATTATTCAAATGAACAAACATTTTACTCTCAAACTGGACATTTTTTTTTTAGTATTTAGTGAGAATTAGCACAGACAATTTCTTGTGATGCTAATCAATTAGTTGACAAAAAAATAAAAAATGTATTAATTAAAATGCTTCAACTAAAGAAAAAATCAAAATAAACAAAAACATTTTTTTTATCCACTAACCAATAATATCCTGGCTCCTGAGCAAATATGTTTGACTCCCAAGGTCTTGTTGGTTTTTGTCTATCCGTGCCTATAATGATCTTTGATAGTTTGTTCACTTAAATCAAAAAGTCATAAGGATTAATCTATTTTTTCACAATGATATCATCCTATTGTAGAAATGGATCTGTATCTAACAATAATACATAGACACCTGAAATAGGGACATGATAAGTTTAGAAAAAAGTTCATATGATTGGTCTGAATATCTAAAATTTAATGATACAGATTTTTCTTATAAATTTCAAAAACAAAAATGGAATAAAATAAAAGCCACTTGTTCTTAAAATATTCTTTAAAATTCATAAAAAGATTATGAATAATATATATTTTTTTTTAAAACACGCAAATGAATATGTTTGAGACTTAATTGTGGGGCAACTGTAAGTGTAGTACAGATTTGAAATAGACTTGAAAAAATTCGAGTTAGCAGTCATTGCTAGTTGCAATAAAAGGTTTACAATTAAATCAGAGTCATTGCTATTTACAGTCTTTCAAGTTTTACTAATGTAGTTAACACAGGAAGAAGAGAGGACAATAATAATATTTATTCAATCAACTGCCAGATGTTTAACAAAATCCCTTGAAATGAAGTAATCCAATACTTCTGACACTTATGTAGGCAACCACATTAACACATGTATACCACCACACACATGCACACCACCACACACATCCATACCACCATACACAATCACACACAGACTTTGTGCTTGCTTCCAAAAAGGATTTCTGCCATTTTCCCTACTGAAACAAAGTGACGAGCTTCTTGGCCGCCTTAGCAATGTCATATGCATATTGTATCACTTGCTGTGTTTTCAGCCTAAAGTCAGGGTTCGGGTCTTGCTCAGGTGATGGCGGCCATGACTTGCACTCGTCCCGAAGTCTCATTGCACTCTGCACCAGAACTACTCTTGCATCTTGGAGTCTCTCGGATCCCGTCTCCTGTTGATCAAATGTTAAAAAACACAAAAATGATGCACAGCACACAAAAATGTTTTCCTCTTGTTTGTGTGCTTTCTACTGATCTGGTCATTGATGTCTTGATGATAATGTGTTTGGCATTTTGAAACTTAAAGATGATAACAGGAAGATAAATGCAACAGGGCAGGAGACACAGGCACAGTGGGTAGGAGACACAAATAATGGGTGACCTTTATCTACCACACAAACCAAGGGGAGATAATGCAAGTGATATTAATGTTGCCCCTGAAATAAAATATGAGTAAACACAGTAACTAAACAAGAAAGAAGCAGTACTAAAATACATCAAAGTTTTGCAAACGAGAAAATGGTATGAAAGCTGCTGAAATATATTTTCATTTAGCTCAAATCAATATCACCACAATAAAGAAAACCATTTGCACAACATTAAGAATACTCATTGGATCAATATTTTCTTGCTTGAAATAATATTTACCCAATGGGGAAAGTCACTCATATAATTACTTTCAAATCATTCTTAAACTAACATTTCAACAAAAAAAAATATGTATCTTTTCTGTATCCTAACGTTGTAATGAAATTTATTGACTACCCTAAAAGTGTTCCCTTATTTTGCACACATTTTGTTAAAACCCTACATGTTTTATCAGTTTCAAGATACAATTCTCAATTCCAGAGTTTTTCTTGTCCCCTACACAATGACCTTTGAACCCACAACCTGAACATGACATTTGAACCCACAACCTGAACATGACCTTTGAACCCACATCCTGAACATGACCTTTGAACCCACATCCTGAACATGACCTTTGAACCCACAGCCTGAACATGACGTGATGTTCAAGGTCAGTGACAAAGTGAAGCTGAACAACAACGATGACAACAATGAGATGATAATGAGGAAGCTTTACATGAGACACAAGCCGCTGAGGCCATGCTTACATCTGGGAACAGGGAGGCCATTTCCGAGACAGCTGAGTAAATCCTTTCCGAGCAGGACTCAAAACTGAAAAGAGTTGAAAAATGCCACAGAAAGAAAAAATATAAGCGATACAGTATAATGACAAGGCTGCACATGAAATAATAAAAAAAATGGCACACCAAAAAAAAATATTTAAAAATTGTCATTGATATTTTTAATACTATGGCAGTTACAAAACTTAAAAATTTGAATGGCAAAAAAACTGAAGAAAAAAATTACAACATACAAAATAATTGTGAAGTTTACCACTGGGAAAATGACAACAAGACATCACACAAATACAACAGTATACTATAACACAAACATCACACAAATTTTGCACATATGCAAAGCAAAGCCAACTTTTCTATTTGCGTCTTTTTTTTTTTTGAAGATTATTTTGTAAAAATTTGTTTTAAAACATTGAAATTAAAAATATATTACTAATTATCTTTTTTTCAAATAATTTATCTTAATAAACATCACACAAATTTTGCACATATGCAAAGCAAAGCCAACTTTTCTATTTGCGTCTTTTTTTTTTTTTTGAAGATTATTTTGTAAAAATTTGTTTTAAAACATTGAAATTAAAAATATATTACTAATGATCTTTTTTTCAAATAATTTATCTTAATATAATTTCCCTAAATAAAAATTCTCTAAATTCTTAAATAGAAATCTAAAATGTTTAATTCTTATCCTTTTTGGATTTTATGGAACCAATTATTTTGTTTAAAACTTTATTCAAATATAACAAATTGTACATTAAAAAAAGTTTATCCAGCATAAAATAATGTATAGATTTATGTTGTTATAATTGGACATAGTCCATTAACTCGCCTGGGCTGTCTCTTGATCTTTTAATAGTAATCTATTACAGGGGTAGGCAACTTATGTTACGGGTGCCAGTCTGGGCACACTAGGCAACTTATGCCACGGGTGCCAGACTGGGCACACTCGGTAACTTATGCCACGTGTGCCAGACTGGGCACACGGAGCTAGTTTCAATGGCACGCGGAAGACCAAAGAATTATATTAAATGTTTTTAAAAATGCGTCTTGTGAGGTAGACTTGTAGAATTTTGGTACGCTGAATGGCATAGAAATCCTTTTTGTGCAATGTTACTACATGGTTGCCGACCCTTGATCTATCCGATCATAATGTTTATGTACGAAACCATAAGATGGAAACAACAACAAAAAGTCACACATTGGATTACAATGGACATGTCATGCAACCAAACAGAGATAAATGTTGGAAAAAATGGTTTGTCTAGATTGTAGGAAGTTAGACAGAGACCAGATCTACTGGGATATGATAGTACCATTTCTGCGTCTCACTTGGAAAACTAAACTCAGCTACAAACCAAATTGGTAATATAATTAATTTTGAGTATAAGTTGTTGCAAATAATATTAGGCCCTTATTAAAATTATTTGAGAACCACAGATTTCAGAATAGATAACTAGATAATACTTAATTTTCAATAATATATTATACTGTCTTAATGCAATAATAATTTCTATGAGGTAATGGATTAGAATTATTCACAGCTATGGGTAAATAGCCGGAGTTAATGGACCCATAAAACCCTGGATAAAAAACCTGCCCGAAAGACAGCAGCCAACTTGGCACAAAAATTAAAATGGGCTGACAAGTTTAACATAACTATAGATTATTAGCTTTACCAGGTGCTCGAATAAAAACAGGCACCACGAAACAAAAACGTCTAGCAAATTACTATTAATTACATAATATTAAATGTTGTAAAAATGTGATTCATACTTAATATAGAACAGTCAGCTTTACAATATCAAGACTGGTGTTTGTAAACAGTAAGCATTTTATGACACTAATCATTTTTGCTTGTAATATTTCCATTAAATGCCACCCACCTTCTGTGTTGTCCTTCCTGGGCTGACAGAAGAAGCTCTTGAATTTTTTTGGTCACCTTTTCTGTTTTTTTCACCACCTTATTGAGAAACAAAATATTTAACTATGAATTCAACTCACATGATGAATATGTTTCACATAGAGAATCTTCGCTGCATGTTATGTTGATGGCATATTGAATGAATATTTAACCATGAATAACTCAGTTGAGGCTTATATTATTACACTGTAAAAATTCATTGATGGGATTCTAAGTGCTTCACTTATTTCTTCAAAGCTAATACAGGGAATCATAATACAATATACTGAATGAAATATTATTATACAGGAAATTGAAAGATATCTTGTTTGATCTTTGAGGCAACCAACCACTGTTATTGAAAACAGAAATAAGTCTCTCTGTCTCTCTCTCCTCCTCCCTTAACCCCCCCCCCCCCCTCTCTTTAAAAAAAAAAAAATTATTCAAACTTGAAAGTGTATTTTAATTTATTAACTAAAGGAACAAAATTATTATTTTCTATAATAAAATTTAAAAATTAATTTACATTTCAAAAATTATTTATAATAATCCTGTCAAAATCTCAGAGACAAGCATAGAGCTGGAAATTAGTCTTTTTCCTCTTCAAATAACTATTTAAACTTGAAAGTGTATTATTATTTATTATCTGAAGAAATTTGTTTATTATTTTCTATAATAAAATTTAAAAATTAATGAGGTTTTATAAATAAACAGTGACAAGTCCATAATAAAATTCAATTTGAAATATTTCAAAAACCTTATACAACAAAACTGTTCCTGTCAGAATCTCAGAGACAAGTATGTCAATAATGTTACCAATAAAACAAAGGATCAGTACATTTTAAAATCTCATATTTTTTTTACTGAAGTACTTTAGCACCAGGAACTTTATTGATTTATACGTTATGAACAAATTGGCCGGTTCGCCAAATGACCTTCCAAAGTGCAAAATGGCCAATGCCGCTGTAGACTGACCAGCCAAATGTAGATATTTTATTGATTTTGATATTTGAACAGTCAATTTACGAAATGGCACGAAGTGATCATCCAGGTTCATTGTAATTTTTCTTCTTTGCTCACAGATTCAAGGTTATTTTTATTGTTCCGATTAGGGTTATCGTTATTGTTATTGAGATTACCTCCTGCTGAGTTGGCATGTTTGGATCATCTCCCACAGCTGCCAGGGATGAGTTTGAACCTTGACCCTCACTCTCTGATGACTCCCTGATAGATGACAAAACCTCCTGGACCTGACCCTCACTTGCACCACTGCAACCAAACACATTAGAAGATCTCAGTTCAGGGAGGAAGTGACAGGATGTAGGATGACTGTGACAACCCCCTCTCCCCTATTGACCTGTCTATGACAACCCCTCTCCTCCATTGACCTGTCTATGACAACCCCCTCTCCCCTACTGACCTGTCTATGACAACCCCCTCTCCCCTACTGATCTATGACAACCCCCTCTTCCCTACTGACCTGTCTATGACAACCCCCTCTCTATACTGACCTGTCTATGACAACCCCCTTTCCCTACTGACCTATGACAACCCCCTCTCCCTAATGACCTGTCTATGATAACCCGTTCCCTTCTGACCTATCTATGAAAATCCCCTCTCCCTTCTGGCCTGTCTATGACAACCTCCTCTCCTTACTGACCTGTCTATCATAACCCCCTCTCCCTACTGACCCAGAGGCGTAGCGATGGGGGGGCAAGCTAGTTAGTGGCGCCAAAATGTGATTTGATATTATAGTATTGGTTAAAATGATGGGTTTGAGAGTTGAACAAAAGAAAAGGGGGCGCTTTAAAATGGATCTTGTCCCCGGGCGCCAAACACCCTCGCTACGCCACTGTACTGACCTGTCTATGACAACCCCCTCTCCTTACTGACATGTCTATGACAACCCCCTCTTCCCTATTTACCATCATCAATGACAACCCCCTCCCCCCTACTGACCTGTCTGTGGAGAGATGAGACTTGGGAACATCATAAAATCCATCACCAGAAGTCGGATTGACCTGGTCATCTACAGAGAAACTGCCAGCCACAGATAGCCCTTTGCTCTTACCCTATGGCCAACAAAATACCAAAACATGTCCATTTGCTGTCAACATAATTTATGTTCACTTTTAATGAGTTCATGCTCTTCCAAAAAGATTTGATAATTCTTTAATTAATTATTTGATAGTTCATTAGTTAATTTTATGAGTGTTTTTTAATTAATCATTTGATTGAATTTGAAATCCAAAAGTCAATTAAACAATATGAGCAGCCCTTCATAAGGTCTTTTTAAGTAGATTGGCAAAAACTAAAAATAGGTGACCTCTTGGGGCCACATCATCCATGATGCAATGTTGGCAATGTGCCCAGAGGTCCTGTGTTAAAGATGCTGGCATATAGAGTCACAGTGCTAAGAGGGTTGGTCACAGTCAGTCATTGTTGCAATAAATGTATTTGCTCTATGTCTTATGTAACATAGTGAGTGGTGCTGTATATGTATATATGCTCTGAATGTGTATTATATAACCTTATTTGAGTGCAACTATGTGTGTATATGCTATATGTGTTATATAACTGTAATGATCTCTACATAAGACTTGATAGCTTCTCCCACACTAAACATGTATGTTTGAATGAACAGACTACTATAAATAATGTTATGCATAACTATGTAAGTACTGACATGTCCTGTCCCTGCCATGGCAATATTGGTCACAGAAGTTGATGACATCATGGGTGCACTGGGCCCTGTCTTCTAGGAATGAAACCAAATTAAGTATTTAATTATTTATTTAAACATTTAAAAAACATGGAAGCTTGTGTTGTAATTTTTGCTATAATTATTTCAATCTAACTTTTCTTGGTTTATATACAAGTTTTCATGAGTTGTGTTGATTATTGGAGAAATAATCTGGGGGTGGTTTATTATCAATTTCTCATTAAAATTGATTATAAATAATTATTTAAATTCCATATTACATTACAACTAACCTCCACCCAAAAAAATCCCCAAATTCAATTTTAAAAAATAATTATGTTTGTTATTACTGATCAGCATAAAGAAAATATTGTTAAATCCACAGGTCACTATGACCTCACTAAGTAAAATTTGCTGTCATTAAAAAATGTAGGACTCAATACTAACGACAGCAATTACCCCATGTATGTTTTGGTCTCTCATTAACTCAATACTAAGACAGCAATTACCCCATGTCTGTTTTGGTCCCTCATTAACTCAATACTAAGACAGCAATTACCCCGTGTCTGATTTGATCCCTCATTAACTCAATACTAAGACAGCAATTACCCCATGTCTGTTTTGGTCTCTCATTTCTATCATCGAGGTGGGACGGACACCGCTTGACCTCAGCGAGGGGGACCTTGGAATTTCATAGTCTGTTTCATCAGCATCACCGTTGTTATTATTGCAATGGTTACTGTCCAGCTGGTCACCAGACTCCAGTCCATTGACCATAGAGGAGAAGTCATGGCTGATCACACGCAAGTTGGCATTTTCACGCATCAGTGTGTCCACCTGGCAAAGCAAGTTTTAAGTGCAATTATAAACAATCAAAATGCTTGCGTCTTTGAAAGTGGACTTATCAAGATGTCTACTACGAATTACATGAAAACCAATAGTAAAATTGCACGAGGCATATTAAAAAAATGCTGCATTGAAAAGCGTTGGGATTAAGTGTCGGTTGTTATGAATGACAGAATAACTATTTTGTACCTAACTTGAAACTGCTATGCTTCTCTAGGTGCTACATTTATCTTTATGTGACTGACCTTCTTCTCCAGGTCTTTCTTGACCTGTTCCAGGTGTTTAATTGTTGCCTCAGAGGCTGCCAAAGCTTTTCTCACTTCCAGATATTCCTCTGAGGACACGGGAGCTTCTGCTGGCTGCTCTGACATGCTCTGTACGGACAAGGACATTCATCAATACATCATATACATCTGACAGATCCCTAACCTGACACTATGGCCCAGTAGTCACAACATTCAGCAAATATGTGAAATGGTTGATTTGAATTTAAAAGTAAAACACAGATCAGTTTATTGGACTGAACTACCGATCATGTGATCATCAGGTATCAAATTGAGGTCAGGGTTTCTAAAAAAATTGTTATGGAGCCCTGACCTGTTCATCCTAGATTTAATCAGAGACAATAACATTAAGAATCTTAACAAAATAAAGTAAATTTTCCTTGGGTTTTAATTCAAAACTGATAAATGTTAACATATACTGATGATGTATGTTACCTAATCTAAAATACCAATTTATGCTATGGTTATGTCAAAATGGTGCCAGAATACCCAGTCATCATGCAGTGTTCACTACAACACAGTGAAGAAAGCAACCAATTTAATACAATGTCCAGAGGCTGATGGAAATCTAGAAATTTTCCAAATTTTTACACATTTATTTTGTAAACTTAAGAAAAAATATTTCATTAAAAAAATTTAACTTGTCCATGTTTTGAAAACAAATTAAAATCAATTACCTTTTTAATTAACATCAGGACCAATAGATAACCATAAAATTACTTTATAAAACTATTGCTGAACGATTGGATTAGCCCTGCAATATGATTAACAAAAACAGCCAGCTTTCCAGTATACTACAAGTGCACAGTGTATGACCAAATCATTTGGTGCAAAGTGTATTACTACACATGCACAATGTATAATCAAATCATTTGGTACAAAATATATTATTACAAGTGCACAGTGTATAACTAAATCATTTTGTGCAAAGTGTATTACTACACATGCAAATCATATATAACCAAATCATTTGGTACAAAGTATATTGCTACAAGTGCACAGTGTTTGACCAAATAATTCTGTAATACAAAAGATTTTTCATTGATTTGTTAAACACATTTATAGATTTATCTTGTCTGTGTGAGTTGTAAATGACACTCAGACAACAATGCAGCATTACACATGTGGGGAATAATTAGAAAAATTTGTGGTTAGATTGTTAGATAAGTAACACCAAAAACAAAATCATTTAATTTTTTTAATAGAAAATTGGTTTCTTTAAAAACATTTGAACCAAAAATGATTGAATAGTAAATTTTAAAATAAGGTTATGGGGTTAGTACTATTTTTTTAAAAATCCTCTTTTTTCCAGACAAATTAAAAGAGGATCTATTGAGGAGAAATGCTTCTTATTTTATTGGGCGCACACACCACCACCACCACCATCACCACAATTACACATGTGTGTAGCCTCTCACCTCAGTGAAAGAGATCATAGAAGTGGGTGTGTTAGAGCGCTTCCCTTTCAGAAGGCCCTAATATGAATACATGGGGATATCATAAATCAGCATTGAAGTGATATTGAGTTGATTTTGTGCTAGGCATTCAGATATGTCATTTACATCAATTACATAATTTTAGGAGCATCTCAGAAGAACAGTTTCTATGTAAGTTAGATGTCCAGAGCTAAGATACAGGAAATAAAGTATGTGTCGTATGTCATGGAAGTTATGCTTGGGTGAAATGGTCTTAGATTACATCTGCATGAGGTTGCATACTAGGTATAAATGAAATAAAGTATATGTTGTATGTCATGGAAGTTATGCTGGGGTGAAATGAGCTTAGATTACATCTGCATGAGGTTGTGTACTAAGTGCAAATTAAAAAAAGGATGAGTTGTATGTCATGGAAGTTATGCTGGAGTGAATTGGACTGACATTATGTAGCTATAGCAGCTACATGAGGTAGCATACCAGTTGTGAATGAAAAAGGCTGCATTAAGGTGATATCAAACTATTGTTTTGAGTTGACTGCACTGGGGAAGATAACATAATCATAAAGCTACGAAGGGTGCATTAGGTTAGGGTACTTGATTTTAGTTATATTCTGTGCACAGAGTCATTATCAAACAGAAATATGTGTGCATTTGAATGATAATGTAAGCAAACAAGCTCTCCCTAAGTAGTGAAAGTGGCTTAAAACACCATAATTAGGTGGCACAGATAGCTTCGTTCCACCCAGAAGGGAATAAGAAGACCATCATTTCTAATGAAGCCCTCACTTTGATTGAATAGTTAGATTTGGAGATCCTGAGATAGGCCAGTGAATGTTTCAAACCTGTCTACAGATGGAAATTAAGCCTTTCTATTACTGTGTGTGTTTTGATAAAACTTTAAATGAAATATATGTTCCACTCTTCTTTCTTTTTAGAAGTGTTTCATATCAGTAATAGAAAATAAGAAGTAAATTAATTATATTGTCTTACTTGTATTTTAAACATTCTATTTTTCCAAACAGCTTTTAAAAAAATAATCCTTTTATAATTTATTAAAAAATGTTATGATTATGTTACATATTGCCTAACAGGTCTTAAAACACTGTGACTATTGCTATTCACTTAAATGGTTAATTTTCTTTTCTCTTAAAACTACAATCTGGGAAAAAGTTGAGCTCACTATGATGTTGTAAAAGGTTAACAACAACAAATAATTTCCCAAAGATTAAAAATATGTGACATTTATAAAAAAAACGTTGGGTAACTTATAAATAAAAAGCATTTTATTGAAATATTTTTAAGCTATTAAAACAAATGTCAATTTTTATTAAAACAAATAACAAAAAAGGGTTGATTTGTGTCTTTGAAAGAAAAGTTTTGAAAATGTCAAATAATAGGAATTTCTTTTTACCTCTGCAGTAATGTCGGGCCTCATTTCCTGTCGAACACTTTTAATACTTTGGGTGTCAATGCTGCTGTAGTCTTCATCCGAGGCAACACTGTCATACAAGGGCTCATCATCACTGATAGCACTCATTCTCTGGGAGTTATGTCCCATCCTATCTTTTGAGTAGAAATCAAAAAGCCCTTTGTAGCTAATTTGCATTTATTTCCATAACAACTACTATGATTTTTTTTTTAATATTTAAATGCAATAAATTTATAGTATCCAATTTAAAGCATTATCTACCTGGGTCTTTCAGAGTTTGAACTGGAGATATAATTCCTGTCTGTCTTCTTCTAGCATCATAGAGAATGTCCACAACAAGCGTAGCAAACTCCCTGGCATTGAACCTGGCAAGCTTCTGACGACCCTGGCAAGAAGCATTGAAAAGTTTTCTCTTGAATTTTAACACATACAAACACTATTTAAGACGAATAAAAGCAAAATGTGTTACATGACATGCTGAATTTGAATAAGCTAATGTTTGGACATTTAGAAATCAAATACATGTTTTTTATAAGTGATACTAAATTCTCAAACCAATTTTTTAAAATTCTCTTGCAATTATAGAGTTAAAAAAACAACTTTTAATAGCCATTTGACCTGTCTTCTAGCTTTCCTGGCCTACTGTAATAACAACACAATCTTCTTAAATGATTTTACAGGTGTCATAAACAAATTTTGTTGGCGGCACAAGGGTGCTGGGTGGCCGAGTGGTCTAAACTGACTCACTCCAAATAGTGGTGGTCTTGAGTTCAATCCCCGCAAAGCCAAAATCCCAAGCACCCCAGGTGGATGGGACTTGTTAGCCTCGGAAGGCAACTCATCTAAGAGAAGGCTATTTCTGAATTCAAACCAGGAGTCAAAATGATCCATAAATTGGATCGTGGGCCCTCAAAAATGAAAAAAAAAAAAAAGTTGTATGTTCATATCCCTGTGAAATAAAGAAATATGGACTCTTGGCTTATTCTGCCAGGGCGATTCTGCCAGGGCGATACACATCACCCACAAAAATCTAATTCCCTACCTGATTGCGTGTGGTAGAGAGCTCTGGATTGACAGGAAGGTGAGGAACTGTGAGTCTTTCACTCAATACTGATGTGTGATCATGTGTGGAGAGCCATACTGAAAGAAAAAAATACTTCCGTAAGGGAATTTTCACTACCAAAATACAGCTTTATAAAACATTACCTGGGTTTTTTTTTCTTAGGAAATAGAGTGAGAAAGAAAGTTGGAAAGAACTTATTTATATTTTAAAACAAAACAACACAGAATAAAAACTTATCTTTATCACAGACAACTCTACCACCACTATGCTTTGTTTACAAGATTATGAAAGATGAGACTCACTTGCATCGTTTTCCCTTCTATCTACTTCATCATATACATCCATGGCCAGTTCTTCAAATAAGTGGTTTGGCAGCTTTAAAAAATAAACAATGCAAAAAAGTGTTTTACTTGCTGTTTACTGTACTTTTTATAGTTAATTTAAATACTTTAAATATAATGACTATATATACAATTTTACTCTTCCTAAGCAGTATGCATAAAGATGTATGCATATATTTACCCCACCCCCAACCTCCAAAGCTCTCCAAGAAAATTTTTACTACTCCTTATACCACCCATGAGATCCTTATGTTTCAAAAAATGACCAACAGCAAAAATTGGTTACCGGAAATTTGATCGAAAGAAATTTGGTCAAATCTTTTTTCAGTTCACACTTTAAAAATTTTGTCAAATTTCTTTTAGAACGCACTATACTGTATTAGTAAATCAAAATAATGCATTAAAAAGAAATTTGAAGCAAAATTTTAACGTAAAAACTGAAAAAAAGATTCAACTGAAATTCTGTTCCATCAAATTACCGTAGATCATTTTACCGTCGAAAAAACTTCTTTTGGTCTAATAAAATTATGTATTGAAAGCGCTAAGCTGATTTCTCATATTTAATTAAAGTTAGCAATAACGTTTTTTTTTTTCACTTCTTTTTTTAATAACTTTTTGTGTTCGATAAAATTTTCTCCAAATTTAAGACAATTTTCTCACTGCTTGAAGCTTCTTCTTGGCTTGCTTGGCCAACTCAGACAAATCAGCATTGCTGAGGGAGAAGAAATTAATTCAAATTTAAGAAAATATTTAAAGCGTGGGAACAAAAAACATGGGGGTGGGGGGGGGGTGCGCGCGCACTATTGACACAATTCATATTATATGATCAAAGCAAGAAGAAAATCCTGACATAATAAATAATGATATAAAAGTTTATGCCCTGCCAAAAGCATTATTTGATAAAGTAGGTATTTATGTCTACAAATAATTAAATTGATATGCTTACTTGTCTCCAAGCTCAGGAATTTTGAAATGCACACCTGTTCTGTGATCTGGTAAAAAAAAAAAAATTAAAATTGATGTTTTTTAATTATTGGAATTAAAAGTAGAGATCTAACAATTTATGAGATATTGTTTTGAAAAGTATGTGGGTTTGAACTTTGTATTAAGAGAATTTTAAAAAAAATGAACAAACAAATTGATCAACAAACCTGGCTTTCTTCCACATATGTAAAATGTAAGTCTGTCAGTGAGTTCATATTGTAGCTCTAAGATTCTATCAGCTAGATCAGAAAAGCCCTCCAATCTATATTTAAATAGAGTCAAGTTCATCTCTGTACAAATATTTTGAAATGACCAGATTAACATTAATTTATTGTAATCATATTTTGTAGTAGTGTTTTTAATAAATTTAATCATGCTCATTAAAATCTATTTTTAAGTGATTGGGGGGGGGGGTTTATGTGTTGAGCCCACCTTTAACTTTAACCTATTGATATTTGTTGGTGTTTGGGCTGAACTATATTAAGTTAATTTAAGATGTTTTTAATAAATTTAATCATGCTCATTAAAATCTATTTTTAAGTGATTGGGGGGGGGGGGGTTTATGTGTTGAGCCCACCTTTAACTTTAACCTATTGATATTTGTTGGTGTTTGGGCTGAACTATATTAAGTTAATTTAAGAAGCCCATATATCACAAATTGGTCCAAACCTAACATCTTTGAAAGCCCCTATATCAGCATAGGGTAGGTAAAGTGTTCTGTTTTCATTGATCCTAGGAACCAAATTTAAACAATAAACATTCAACCTACTTGGCATAATCATAAGGAGTTCTGCCATTTGCATCTTTTGCACCTGGGTCGGCTCCATAGACACATAAAAGCTCTACTTGTGATGCTTGCCCTGCCTGAGCTGCCACATGAATGGGACTGTTTCCTTTTTCCTGTTGTGTACAAATAAAATGACAAGTTCACTTCTAGCATTATAGGAACTTTAAACATACAACTGGTTCAATCCTCAGTACTGCATGATCCCAACAGTACTGCATGAGCCTAACAGTATTGCCTGCGCCTAACAGTTCAGCATGAGCTTAACAGTACAGCATGAGCCTAACAGTACTGCATGAGCCTAAAAGTACTGCATGACCCTAACAGTAATGCCTGCTCATAACAGTAATGCGTGATCCTAACAGTACTGCATGAGCCTAAAAGTAGTGCAGGAACCAAACAGTACCTACATTATTTCATTCCTCTTCAGTTATTTGGTTTTTTTACATCAAGGAGACAGTAGTCCTGACAACTTTAATCAGCCTAAGCCATTAGTGACAACAGATCATTCCCGGGGCTCCGGTTGACAAGTCTGTGGTGGCTTGCCGATTAGAAGGCATCGGCCACCTACCCCCTCGGTGTTACCCGGGGAACAAGACCACCAATGTGTGTCCTGCTTGGCAGACAAGGACATGCATGGTACTTGCCAGAATAAAACGGCTCCTACAGGGCTGCCAGCTGTGGCATTTCAAAGTAAAGGCAGAGACAGGGTAGGGATCATGATTACAAGTTGCCATTATTGGATATGAGGCAAGAGGCTATGGTGGAAGCCTCTGGCCGATGATTCTAAGTATGGTGGAAAACCTCTGTAGAAACCCTCTTTTAGGGCGCCCGATGCTTCTCCAGGATGGGTGGGGGAAGATATTAATTTACCATCCCGACTCCTAGGAAAGTCGATCGTGTGCACTCTGTGTATGCACAGTGATGGACCGACCGGGTGACCTTGGGTTGGGGTGGCCTCCAGCGGAACCTGATCAAGCGGACTCGGGTGGGGGCTGTCCTGGCCAAGGGACATCTCCAATGTGCTGTCCAATACCGGGGCTTAGGGGAGGTGCTTTGGGGAGGGCATAAGGAGCTTTAGCTCGACGGCCCGCTGATTCCATTTCCTAAAGTGATATTTCAGTGAAAACAGACACAAAAAGGTTATACTATACTATGGAGCAGTACTCACTCTGTAAAAATAGTTGGGATCAGCTCCCTTTGATAGGAGCCGTAAACATGTCTCCACATTATTTGTTCTGACACTTGAGTGAAGTTCCTAGATTAAAGCAAATAGTAGCATTTTCAGTTAAATAAGACTATGTTCAGCAATGATATATTTTATGGGAACCACAAAGGAAAGAAAAAGAAATTCTTATTAAAGTTGAATTAGTGTCTTAAATTTATTATCACACTAAGAACAAAAACTGGGCCTTATGCTTTATAAAAATAAACTTTCTTTTCTAATCAATTAAAATTTTAAAAAATAAGATGATCAAAGAGACTTATTGTCACCTACCCGACTGACATCATCTAGTGAACTAGCATCACTGTCTTTATGTTTGTTGACAAAAGACAGAAACTGATACTTTGCTCTGATGAAGTCAGATTTGTTCGGACTGAAAAAAAAAAACGCTGATTAAGTTATTTTTATTATTATTTTTAGCAAAATTATCAATACTTCGCAGTCACTTAGCCTTAAACTTTTAAAACTTTTTCACATAATTTAATGAGTCGAGTTCAACGGGTACTTACTGAAGTGGGTCTCGCGCTGCAGGTTTCCGCCGTCCATGTTTGTTCTGTGCTGGATCAAGCATAGTGTGTTCCCATATATTGTTAGCTCCATTACTTGCTAGAATGTAGACCATCTGAGAGATAAAAATGTTGGTTTACATTAAAAAAATCATCTGAAGCAACAAAGACGGTATAATCACATTAAATAGGACTCTGAGCTTCTCCAGCTTTCAGCAGGATTTTGGTCATTAGGTATAATTGAATATTTATATGGGAAGGTGATCAATGTGCTGACTTAGAAGTAAGCTGAAAGTTTATTTTCTGTCCGGTTTTTAGTCAGGGCTGTATAATTTATTATCATGCTACAATGCTGTTCAAAGAAAGGGGAGTGGGGAGAAGTAACTTCACAACAAGATCATTAATTTTAGATCTATGTCTTATACAAAACAACTGTTAAACGTACATTACAGAAAGAAACATTGCAAACAAGGAAAAGAGTCAAATGTAATCTTAAGTGCCATATTTGAAAATTTTCAGTAAAATAAAATTTAATATGATACAAAAAGATGTATTTCATTTAAATTTTATGGTAGAACTATATCAGTTAAAAAATACACTTTACGTAAGAAATAATGTAAGCAACTGTGATTTACATCATGAAACGAAAATTCTTACAGTATGTTGACTGGCACACCATTGCCCCTTTTTCAGATTCTTCACTTGTGATATGTGCCTTCCCAAACTGCGGTGAACACTACAACATTCATCACAAATTAGCACACCTCTGTTTATTGATGCCCATGTGGGTTCTGTTAACACATTTAAAAAGAAACATATTATTATCATTCAAAATGATAATAATGTTTAAGTGATGTAGTTTTCGTTGTAGTCAATGTTTGATATCAAGGAGTTGGAAGTTTTACCTGGAGCAGAGCAATCAGCACAAACTGGTGGAGGTCGCATGCTGCCCCTCGACATAGTCATCTTCTTCTGATCAACTCGTTTATTTTTTGAATCCGTGATTATGGTTTGGCAAGTGAACCTGCACTGCAAATATGTTCTCCTTCACCAAAACTGAAGATGAATCAAGAACAATTCAATAAGTAAAAAAAAATAAAAAGTTTACAGTAAACTGAATTCATAGGTTTTCAAAACACTAAAAATAAATACCAATACCAGCTTACATCCAATCTCAAAACATCATCTCCACCATTAGTGACAATATGGAGTCCATTCCATCCTTCTTTTTTGTTAATTCGTCTTCTTTGAAGTCTACACCTTTATAAAAGTAAAGATTATGTATATAAAACTAGTCGGGCAATTATTTAAATCATCTCAAAATACAGCATTGAAATATTTAATATGGGTGGATTATTTGAATAATAATTATGTTATATTTACTATTCATCTTATCTTAGCAAAAAAACACTTAAATATATTATTAAAATTTTAAAAAATATCATAAATACCAATCACAAATGACGGAAAATGTATAATTTATATACTTTATCTGCATATAGTTTCACTTCAGTAAGCCTTCAACCAGCTGCATAGCTAGGGTTACTGTAACCCGGGGTGGGCTACGATTTTTGCCCCCACCCTTTCCACACAAAAAAACACTGCAGCTGGCCAAAAATGACTCCCTTCCATACAAAGAAAAAAGTGCCTCAAAGGACCGCATCCCCCCCCTCCCCCAACCTCTTCTTACACTACTGCATTCAACTATAATTTAGTAAATTTAATTTTCAAAACAAAGCAATAGCAGAGCCACAAATTTGGCATTATTTAAAGCTGTTCCATTATTTAATTGTAATGAGCTATAAAGATGATTACTAACCAGAGCACTCATTTTGTTTACTGGGTTTTAATTACTTTTTAATTTAAGAATCACTTGAATTTAATCAATTGAATTAATTCAATTTTAATTGAAGCTATATGAAACACAATCATCAACATTTTCACGTTAAGCAAAAATTATCCTCTCAGTTATAATTATTTATCAATATTTTTTTTTAATATAAACATTCTCTGTCCATCTCTGTAAAACATTTGGCCAATTTCTATAGACCTAGTTAAATAAAATGAGTTTTTATTCATACAAAATTAACCGAAAATGCTACAAGAAAAATTGAAAACATATCATTAAATTATTTCTCAAGGACTGTCAAACAAATGTGTTCATTTCTCAAATCACTAAATTTTAAAATTTTATCCAAGTGCCTAGGCCTGAATGTAGGCTCTAGACGAGGCTTCATCTCCATGTAAAATTGTGTGCTCGCCGGATGTATCACAAATTAACTTCTTTCTTCATTCAATTTAATTTTTTTTTCATTCTTATTATCAATGCACATTTGAAATTAATGAATATAATTTTGTTTTTATTTATGACTGAGTGTACATGTAAATGTGTTATCATCTGATAATTATATACATTAATAATAAATAAATAAACATGTTTGGTGTTCATTTTTTTTTATATGTTTAATAACTTGGGGCACTCAATGAGTTTACTCATGATCGAAACCTCCCTTGACTCCATTGGGGTTAGCCACCCCTGGTCTAGACCTTATGGCCTATGTGTTTATAATTAAATAGTAATAATAAACTGCATCATTAAAATGAGGCTGTCTGCACAAGTAAAACTCATGTTAAATGTAATCAAATGTTTGAAATAAATTGCTTGGGTCAATCAAAGAATTTTAACCTATCTTATCATATTTTCAGACTACAGTTACAATCTGAGTTACAACAACCCAACTTCGACCAACTTGCCATTATTAAATTAAATTAAATGGTATATTTATATTAATTGCATTTTTAATTTAATTTTTCTGTCTATTTACAAAAGTCAAAAGTGTAAGTCAGTGTTTAATATTAAATAAGGATTATAATTATATATGAATGATAAAACTAATAATAATAATATTTAATAATAGTCCGTTATACATGTTACATATAATATAATATATTATATTATATAGGCTATAGCCTACTATAGTATAGGTTTATGACCTAGGTAATAGGATGGATCTGTACTTCCTTATTAAGAGTACGGCATAACAAATCAAATGCAAATGAAATGAGTATTCAACTTAACATTCAGAAGAATCATCAGTAAATCAACAGTCAGTAAGTGTAAGTGTAAGTAATTCATAAATGATAATCTGAAATAATCATAAGATAGTTGGCGTTGGCTGAGGGAGCCTGAGAATTACTATGGAGTAGACTACAGCAGGCTACTTGATAGTTTTGAGTTCATCATTGTCAAACTTTTCACTGAAATCAGTCACTTGTGGGTGAGTGCTGAAACTCTTTCTCACTTAACTTACTGAGGTAACTGAAGTTACTGAACTGACTCACTAGCCGAGAAAAAGAAATTTCGTATTCGGTAAAGTGGAATAAAGCCATAATTACATAAAATAATATTGTGCATTAAAATAAAAATTGATCATATTTTCAAATTGACAGACCCGCGAGAAAGGTTCAGAAAATAAGGGGAAAAACGCAATCATTAAAAAAAAATAATTACACACAATTTCTCTCATAGGCACAGATCCATTTTTATTTCTTTCATTTCTTCCTGGACAGTATCGTAAACTTGATTCATTGTCGCAAAATAATGACTCATTCATTTGGGTTTTCCAAAATATTTTGAATAAGTAATGATTAGACATAAACAAATTAAAAATAGTAATTTAAACATGATACATATTAGTACTGACATTAAGCATAAATATATTTTAATTTTTTATAAAAATATATCTTCATGTGCTTGGTTTTACGACATATGTTAATTTCTCACTCTGACACGTCTTTGCTCCACCCCACCAATGAGTGTGAACTTAGGGAAGAGGGGGTATTTTTCTATAGTCTATGGGCTAATTATTCATGTTCAAACTTTTTTCTGAGCTTCTGGGCAGCGTGTGACAAATACATTTCAACTAGTGTTTAAATGAATAATATATGTATATATATATATATATATATATATATATATATATATATATATATATATATGTGTGTGGGATATATATATATATATATATATATGTATGATATATATAATATGTGTGTGTGT